AAATTCGACGCGATTTGGATAGAAGGCGCGTGCAAGATACTCTTCACATTAGTGGGAGACCGCCGTATATGGGCAAATAAAGTTCATAACATCGGCCGTGGAAGAGAAGCAGAGACGACGCGTCATAGGAGTTTAGCAAGACCTATTTCGGTTGAGATAAAAATCTAGTTTACCGCGAACCGCTACATAACTGATCAGGTGTGCTGCCAAATCATACTAAAGGTCGGTATCAAGTGATACCAGATACATTGGCTTCAGAAGCAGAAGCTGCTCAAGTCATATATATGGTTGGCGGCATCCGGTTTCGGATTTGCCTGTCACTGTGGCAAGCCACAGGACGCCTGCGCCTACAGAGGGACCATGGATGGCTTGCGCTGCACCACCCACAGCTCCAACCACATACCCCATATCCAGTGTAAAACCGAAGGAATAAGACCGGGAAGCATGCGGATGGGAACCACGTTTCATCAACGGAGCCGGCCCACACTCCTTCACAGGCAAACACAAGCACGCTGTATTTGGGGAATCAAGCGCACACAAGGCGGTGGCTGGACCGTAGTCCGCTCCACACTGAGTGCATGGAACCGCTCTTTGAGCCTAGCACGGCCACAAGAACCGTGCACCCCGTCCCCTTCAGCAACGACCAACTGTCTCCTGGAGCCAGTATGAACGATGTAGTGGGTAATAGACAGGTAGGCACCTTGTCAACATACACATCAAGCGCAACTACACCGGGGATATCAAACAACAGCCATTCAATTTAAACGACAAGTTGAAATAAAATAAATCCAACAATGCATACAGATACGGTGGCATAACTCTTCGCTAATTTACCATATGAAGTAAGTGCGTTAACAACAAATCCGTGATAAGTAAGAAATGTCCACAAGTTACTTAAAAATGCTACAAAACGCAACAAAATTACCGAAGAGTAGTTGGGATTTTAGATTTTCCCTTTGACATACAAGGTTACACGCCATTTCCCAGGAAAGGGTTTCTTCCTCCTGTGACAATAAATTTTTCCCTCGCACCATCATCTGTAACTCCACCCATTAGGCACTGGATTTTCATGACTTCTTCAAACCGACTTGAGGGAATGGTATTGTACCGGGCATTCCGGTTTAGCTTGATGAATGCGGGCAATGAAATCATTTACACTTTCTCCGCATCGTTGCTGTAGCTTGAAAAACTGATAACGAGCGGAAAAACACACTTTGTTGGATTCCCCACAATTCCTCAAACAACTGGATCACGTGCACAATACTGGTCTTAGCCATGAAGTTCATAGCGTCAAAATGGCATTGTCCTTCTGATCCAAGGGCTTGGCGGAATAACATAATCCAATGGGTATCGGATAACACGATGGAGGGGTTTAACACAGGAAAGAGAGTCATTTGATGTTGGAAAGATGTTTTCCACTGTATTCACGACTGTAGAGAGGGTTTTTCTGCACCATCAGGCCACAGACATGACAGTCCCCGCAAGAAGGCTCGTAGCAACCGTCGCCGTTCTGATATGTATTACTCGAGTATTTCTGGATCGCACCTGGACCCTTAGTCCGCGCAAGAAGTGAATAAGAACACACACCGGATAGGACGTGTCAAAAACTGTAATAAATAGCTTGTAGGTTACACCAGATGAATAAGTCGAAATGGAACCAATCAGCACAAGGAAAAAGAGTGGACGAATCAGCTATCGGTCAATCGATCTGTATGTGTCTGTGCTTGCTCATCGGCTCGCGGTTTAGCGGACGACACACATGTAACACTGTATACGTCTGTCGATGAACGATTTTGTACAGCAAATGTAAATCCAATCTTACCCTCAGAACCCACGTTGGCGCGATATTTAGCAGGTTACATATAGCTTTGTAAGATAGGGTAGATATGCAACCCACAAGTCTTTTTGTAAATGGTCTCTGAGTTGCTACAATTTCTAGTTTGTCACATTCTCTTACTCTACTGAAATTGATTGTAAAGTATTCTAGGATGCGTCGGGTATAAACCCTGATTAATTATAAACAAGCGGCTTATCATTCCAATGATTTGTGTTGTTTCAACCACAATATGCTTAATTTGTTCTTTAAAATTAAACGTGCGGTGTAACGCAGACTTAAGCCACAACTAGAGTCACTTATTGGACGTCGAAGAATATACCGAATAAGACTTTCTAATGGAACACAGCATCCGTAACACTTGATACTGTACTAGGTCGTCGAATAGCTCATTGAGAAGCTGGGGTACCACTCTTCCAGACGGACCAAGTTGTTTTGCATTACGGAAATAAAATTAGACCTTCGTGGTTCCGCAGTATATACAAAGTTTACATAATCGGAGACTTGTTACCTATGTATATCAGGAAAGGAATAAGCACGATTACCTTGCCTTATGTTTCACCACTAGTAATTTTCCTTGTCTCTGACCACATCTCTTGACTAGCTGCTTCTTGCCAATGAGGTATGAATTCAAGCCAATAGCGAGCCTGTTACAAAGCTTCTGAATAAGTCGTTCATGTGGAAGTTTGTCGAATGCTTAGTTAACATCCAGATCAACTACAGCATAAGCCATGCAGTAGTCTAACAAGTTGTGGCTAAATTTTCGAAAAACTTCAGCTGACAGGTACTTGAAGGTTTTTGGGAAAACCATACTGACCTGGAGACAAATGGTTGTTCAGTGCTAAGAAATCGACAATTTCTGTGTTAACAACGCGTTCCATATTTCATAAAATTAAGGCGTGTGTGGGCTGATAGTTTCTGACATCCTGTTTTCATCCGGTTTTATACCGTGGCGTTAGTATCTTCAGGTTCCATCGCTCGGCATAGGGACCAAACTTTATTGACAGTAAGGAAATTCTGTAATAAGTCCGGGATGTTGTCACCACTTTATATTAAAAGAGGCGAGGGGATTCCATCTAGACCCGGGTGAAAGGCAGCTTTTAAAGCGCCAGTTTGTTGCCCCATGGGAGTAATGTTGAAATCAGTGTTAGAAATGTATGGGCCAGTATACGGCGTGTACTTCCAATAATACGTTCCTAGTTATGGTAGTATCGGCGGAATAGCGTTTAAACGCTTCCGACACAGCAGCAGGAGTATCGGTCGGTACCCTATCAATGGTGTTATGATATAACGACTGGTTTTACTTCGTACAGTTCCTCTATTTTTAGCAATCGCGTTACCTCGGATAGTTTGTTGACATGCAACTTGTTCAGCATATGGCTATCAGACTAATCCTCAGTTTGCGGGGTATGTCGAAAAAATACCGTCGCAGACGACTGGGCCCGTGCACCTCGGCTTAGATTTGACCTGATTATGACGAACCGAATATTGCATCTCGGTTACTTTACAATGTTGAGGCCACTGCTTCACGTGTGCGCACCATGCAGCACTCGCGGGCACCCATACAAGCTCGTGGTACCGGACCTAAAGCGGATAGCTTGTCCTCTATGCTTCCAGCGTCGAGTGAAATACTGGGATTGTTTGCCCGAGAAAGTAATTGAGACGAAATCGATGTCGGATTTCAGATTCAGGGAGCGCATCGCACCCGAATAGCATATGGCGCAGCTTTAGTATGCAGCTAACGCGCACGTATTAGTGTCGTGATTCCGCGCACTTACCCGGACTAACTATAACGGAGCAACACAGATATGTGTCTACTAGCTATATATTTTTGGCATCCATTATTTGACATACCTGCCTTCTTTTTGAAGACGAAGGACTCTGGTTTTCATTCCAGCTTCTGCAGTCAGGAGAGCACTGCTAAATTTTTTTATCTTTTCGAAACATTTAGAGAGTCTTTATCTTGCGCTCATGTCGTAATGTTAGTTAAATCGGACGACAGCGTTTCAGTGCAGCGGCTCACGTTCTCGTATGATGCTTGAATGGGCATTTTTGGGTCCGAAGATAATAAAATATTGTCCCAATCAGACGCACTAAGAGGATAACTCTCCCAGTTTATTCTGCGAAATTACTACAGTCTTTTTTTTCTTAGAGCATCTGATATGAATGGAACTTTTGTTTTGCAACTAGCAACACTATGTTCACTGCCATAAAGGAAGTCAAGTATGCCGATAGTGTCAACTATCTGGCTGCAAGTGATTATAAGATCTAGAGTGTTATGCCTTCGTGTGGGGCTTTTATATGTTGAGTCTACTCTTTATCATGCAGGTTAGAAACTCAGTTTGTTTCCCGGTGGCTTTATGTTCAGTCCATGAACTGTTTGACAAGTTGAAATCGTCTCCACTTACCTTGTGCTGACTAGGTAACTCACAAGCATACCTCATGGAATCCTGCAGCGTTCCATTTTCAAGGCCGCGAGGGGTTAGCGGCAGATATATACACCCAACTAGCAGTCTATGGTTATTTAGGGCTATTGTTATACAAACACACTCATCGAGTGATGGCAGCGGTTCATCATTGCACTGTAAACCTCTCAGATGGTGTAACCGTCCATGAGGCGATCACGTATGAACCAGTTATAACCTTAAAGATACGTAGGGCGGTCTGCGGTTTCATCTGTACACCACGATTCAAGCAGATGAACAGTGACGAAACAACGGAGCAAATGCATTTTATGAACCAGAGAACGAAGATTATTAAACATTGGTTTGAGGGTCATCATAGCAGGTCTGATTCAAACTTTTATGTAACTCAGTATTTGAGCAGTGCGTTGCCTTGCTCACAACGTGGCTCTAAGAACCTTGAAATTTCGTACCTTCGACATCTAGATGTGGTGTGAGGTGATGCGAGATTCTAAAAGCACTGTGATTGGATATGAACTGGAGGATCTAAGTGTGCACTCTTCAGAAGAACTTTTTAGTAGGCGTGCACTATCCTGTTGATGTTCATGAGTCACTGCGAAATTCGCACTCGAAGGTATATATATGGCCGTTAACAAAACACCATTGTACAGTGGAGATGGGCAAATCCCGCTTATCATATACTCCGCATGTATTCACTGGTTGTATTCCACTCTCGAGTGGTGCTTCCTTAAGCTTAAATCCCGATGGAGGTTTGTAACAATTGTTGGATTAACATGTGTAACTGAGGATCAGTTTAGTCTCACGGCACATATCCCAGCTATATGCACCTGTTCGAGGATGCGTGACTATCGGAACAGAGCACATCTGTTTACTTGTCTCCTAAGCCGCACAGAAGTAGACGGTAGATGAACAGAGACATCCATTGGTCATTACGGAATCACTATTAAGGGCGTACCCTAAGCCTCTCAGGGTCAAGTGGAAAGCAGTATAACCTAAAGCCTGAGATTCAATTTAGTCGGTAATACTGTTGTTTTTATCATTATGCTTGGGATTTCCAATCATTCCGGTATAACTACTTGTTTGCAAAGAATTGTCCAACATGTTTAGTGGTCGGTTAACGGCGTTGCTGTATTGGTTTGTATTGGTCCTTGTTCGTGGTTTCACGAATAGGGAAATTGATTTCTCCTACTCGCATTTGGAGCATAGCACATTGTATACGACAAGCTTGCAGGTAAGTTTTCTTCAAGCATCGTGCTGTGGTTCATAGGTGAATTGGTGGCCTTAGCTGACACAAGAACTGGATCTACTGCCTCTGACAAAGTCAAAACTTTTGCCAAACGTATTGCAGCGCTGCTTTGTGTAGGATCCAACAGTTGTTATGTCCAGTGGTTTGGAATTTGAACGTTCAGAAATACGGTGTCTGAGACAAATCCAAATCGACAGTAGGGTGGTTGGTAGACTGCACACAAGAAGCATGGCTAACAAGGTTCGGGGGACTAAAGGTTTTATGGGATTGGAGCAGCTTAACCTTTATTTCCCGCTGAAGAGGTGTTTGATCAAGTTTGATGATTGCTCTATGTTATCAGCAACTATATGCTTGTAGAACAATTGGGCGTGACGCCCCTTCCAAAGCATGCATACTTGAAATTTGGTTTTCTTAGTCATATAATGTGACAGCCGGTTCCACTCATATCGGATGTAGGACGTGTATGACAGATTCAGGGATATGGACAGCAACAGTATTTCGAGACCGATTATTTGTTTCTGTTCTAATCGACGGAACAGTCGATGCGGTCCCTTGCAAAATGACTAACACTAGGGTTATCCGGTACCTGGATCAATTATGACTGATATCAGCTTATCAATCATCTGACGTATCTCCCCGAGTTTTTCGTTCGACATGAAAACCTCATTTTTAGGTTACTGACTTTGTTGGTAATAGCAGGTGTCGGATTAGACAACTGAGTGACACATTTAACTTTGGCGGCTCTTGGAAGACGCCGCTTATTTTTGTCCACGCTATTATCTACAATCAGGTCCACAATCTGGTCAGAGATAGACTTTTTAATGGCCTTTCTCTAAGATTCATTGGCTCCAATAGTCGATTGGGTCTATGGAAATACTAGTGCTCTGAGTATCAGAAAGCTAGCAGGCGAAACTAGTGAAAGTTAGTGAAAGTAACCTATCTAAATTTTGCACTGTTGGTTGGAGTGCAATCTTTATGTTGATTAGTGGGTAAATTTCATCAGTATATCGATGATCCGTGTGCGGCAGGTCAGGGGATGCACGTTTATTGGGATGTGGGACGTTGATCAGGGAAACGACACAGGTTGTGTTGGTTGGTGCACGGATACGGTCGTTAACTCCGCGTCTCGTCCTAAGTCCGGAGAGGTTGATGATGGCGCACAGTCGCCGATGTCAAGTCGCTGCGGTGTCACGAATAGCGAATCAGAAACGTTTCAAATCCAGCCAGCCGCCTTACGGTCAGAGGTAGACAGAAAATGACGCAGGATTAGCGGTCAGGTCACCGATTAGGCTGTCGTACGTGATCGGTTGCAAGCGAGCCACGAATCGTTGCACTAGATCACAATTAAACGAATAGAGCGTTGTAGTTGAGACATATGAGCTATAGCTGCTTTATGCGAGTGCTGTCAGGGGTAATCATGGGTTCGTTGAATGCTCCCCAGCGTTGTCCTTAAAGTGAATGCACAACCAACGTTGTGTAGGCAAAATAAAGTAACGTGCGCGTGAGTTTCGACAGCGGACGCTAGAAAACTGTTATGGAGGGACGTGTTGGAATCTCGAAAGATAGATCCGAATAGTTGGGAGTAGTAGATAGATCTCGATAATACGAACCGAATGAGTGTAATCAAACGAATATGCTATAGAATATTGCTCAGCAATCGTAAGTTTGGTAGGAGGATGGAAACAATGTGACCGTATGCGGTCTGCTTTTCCGAGTTCAAAGATGACTCGTGCTAATCTTGTTTATAGGCAACCGATATGCGCTTAAAACCCATAGACTGTTGCGCCTTATGTGTAAGTTTTAATGGGAGAGGGCCATCGACCTCTCCCCACCCCCAACCTGAATGAGGCAGACCGTTTTTTTTACTAACCATTACCTTGTTTGAGATTGGTATCTCCGAAATCGCATTAAAGTTACCTAGAAGTCATATAGATCACAGGTACACAGACGGTCCCATCACCTCACTATGCTCAATTCCCTGAAACTACGCAACCCGACAGCAGCTTGCAGTTTAACGCTAAAAGGTAACTTTTGCCACTTGATATACATCATATTTAGCTCGCTTTTGCAAACTGCTGTTTTGCAAACTTTACTGTCTGCTTTTGCATGTATAGGTTGAACAGCAAGTTGTAGATTTGCGCTCTGAGCTTTCGAATGCGAACAAAACGAACCATGAGTTGCAGCTCTCATTGGATGAAGCACAGCGGCTGATCAGGGAAAAAGAAAATGAGCTAGCCGAATTGAGTAAGTCATCACATCATCTGTTCGTCCGTTATTTTGCATCTCTCCTAGAAATGTGTTCCCCAATTTGTAGCTCAGTAACTCTCGGCCGGTGTCCGAAAGGATTGCGCGCTTGCCTTGCACTCCGGAGGCCGTCGGTTCGAATTCGCATGGGCAGGGGCGACCTAGTGATATACCTAGTCCACACGCGACTAGCGGTGGTCACGTGGCAACAAAGCGTCGATACGATGTGCTGGTGTACTACTGATGCCCAATCCGCAATAACCACCGTAGTTGTTCACATTTATTTAGGATCCGCATTTCCTATCAGCCTAACAACTGGCTATACCTACTAACTGGAATAGGGTATACAGAGATTATCATTGACTTTGAACGCATAGAGATGAAATAGAGAGCTGCCTAACAGGACATGTCAAACGAGAGGCTTGTGTATGACAATTCGAAGGAAAATTGAGTTAGAATCAAAACTCAGCTTACCTAATGATCTCACCTTCGTTGCTCATCATCAGGGTAGTACTCCATAACGGATCTATATAAAATGGGCACAATCTATGTAAATTTGTGAAGTATTGAGAGAAATTGTCTGTTTACTTAGACTATGCGATTGCACTGGTTTCTGTAAAGTTTATGGTCATGAGGCGGCTTGTCGTCATGGTAGATGGAATACCCCAACAAATGTTTCTGCGCACATACGTTTGGGTTATGGGGCTGGATAGATATTGCCTGTGCTGTAGCTAATAGGCGACATTCGACTGCTCGCGTGTGGCTTCCAAACATCCAATACACATGCTGAAAGGCCCCTTGCATGTTTATTTGAGGATTCAAGTGAACCACTGCGATCATCCCTGTCTAACACCACTGTAGAACCGCGCCGGGCAGTGTTCCCAGACTGTTTCAAGCAGTTTAAAAGTCGTTTCCGCAATGCATCTTAACGGGGACAAAAAAGATTATACGCACGAAGGTGAATCTTTGATTGTGGTGTCCTGTCCTTGAGCTGCTTGTTCACGACGCGTTGAGGTGAAGCTGACACGGAGATCAGTTGGTTGGTACCTACATGTGGTGCCATTAGATATCCATCAGACGATTCGTTCTGCCATCGTGTAGACCTTGAAAGGGGACACTAGGTTAAGTAACCGCTTTTCAGTGAATACGGCTTGAATCCCTGGTACTCGCGGCTTCATGTGCTTCCGGACGAATTTCTTCGGGTGACCATTTTGTTCGGACATGGTTCAAATGAAACTCGGCTCTGCCGAAGGCGCATCCTTCGTGCATGTTCTCGCTGTTTTTGTTAGGCAGCAGACGAGGTCAGCGAAATGAACATACTGACTGCTTCAAATTCTCCTGTGCACTCCGTGTCCGATTTTTTTGTGATCTAGACATCTAAGAAAGTCATGCAGTTGTCGCGTTCGACTTCGATGGTGAACGCTATGTTGCTGTGTGCAGCTTTGGATCGGGGTGGCAGATCTGCAATACAGGGTTGTCTATCAGTGACACAATATATAGCATATGTATACCCAATGCAGTACACGAGGTAGTTGGTGAATCCGTAGCTAGTTGTTCTCCACTTTATTCATGGAGACATCTGTACTTAACGACTCTAATGGTGAGCCCATCGATTTGTCGGTATCATGCCCTAATAACTTGAGATTGAATGTTTCTGGTACCTTCCGGTAATAGTTCTTTCAACTGTCCGATTGAAATGCCGACGATAATGCAGTGCTATTTCGTAAAGTAACAAAGCTAGTTTATGGGCTCTTCTAGTGGGTCATTGGTGAACGCGGTGAGATTACATTCAACGAGAAATTTTCCATTCAGTCAGTTCGAGTCGTAATGTACTTGAATCTTTACACCTGATTATGGCTTTCCAGATTGGATTTAGACGTTTGACAAACTACTTGGTAGTCGAATGAGACGAGGAGTAACACATCTCAAATATCATTCTTATTAGTGGCCTTTTGTAGATGTTGGGCAGGCCTTAAATTCTCGGACTCGGTTCCATTTACTCCGGTATACGCAGTCGATTACGTTTGCCTGTCTCAAGTGGCGCACATATTTTCAGAGCATTATTTATTGCCAATATGCTATCTTTGTTGTCTTCAGAATTTTGATTTGTCGTTTTGTATAGTGTTATCAAACATATTCATTTGAACAATCGCGGTTCCTTTGCCCACTAGACAATAGCACTGTCTTTCTCGAACTTTTTCAGAACGTTCAAGTACTCGTTCTCCTAAAACGTTGGGTAGTCGGTTTGTACTTGTGGTATTGGTAACATACATTAACCAATGCTGATTCATACTGCTCGGTTGCTGACACTTGAGAATCAAAAGTTCTAAGCATTACTTCATGCAAAACTGTGCAAATGCGTCGAGTTTCATCTTGTCTAATTTCGGCGAGGAAGATTTATGCGCATATCTTTCAATATCGCATGGGAATAAGTTTTTCCTAACGAAGCTTCTCGAACTGCCAATTGCCGTGTCACAATTCGCCAACCATACGATCTGAACTGTCCGTAACCCTTGGGCACGTTGTGCAGAAACAGTGTGCAGGAGCTCGGTGGTGACGACGACCGAAAGGGAGCTTGTTCGCCTAGGTGACTTTTGATTTTGATGTCTGCTGAAACACGGGCTGTTATCATAAAAAATATTAAATAGCCCCATGCCTTCTGCACTTTTCCTTGTTGTTGCCTCATTTAGTGTCAGCTTTTTTCTGTGCTACAGGTTCCTCATGTTGTCGCAGGAATAATATGCAATCGTTTATATATATATATATATATATATATATATATATATATATATATATATATATATATATATATATATATATATATATATATATATAACGGTTGCCCAATGAACATTTGGCTGTTTGCCACAACACGTGGGTAACATAAGTAAAATAAGGAGGAAAAGAGAGTGGCAGGGGAAGGAATGCGAAGGTCCATATGTTGTGGGCAATAAGCTTCCCGGTTACCCAGGCCGAGGAAGAGGGTTGACTTAACGGACCTCACCCCGAGTCTTTGGTGTTAAAGACCTGACCCGCAGGGCAGCGGGGCGAGTACGAAGATCGTTGACATCCAGCTGGCTCATTCGCCTTCTTTGTGTTCGGTTGCAGTTCACAGAGAAGCCGGTGGCCAACAAGATTGTTCATACGCCTTCCGTTAGATACTCACATCCATTTACAGAAGTGAGTGATCGATAACTCTATAGCCGGTCACATTAGCTTTGACACGGCTCCGTACGAGTGCGCTGAGCGTGGTTTGCCTGCGTTTCTATGCCATCGTGCTTGGCCGTGTAGACGGACGATCATCATAGGTGTAATGGGTTGTACGTATGTTGCGTTACAGCGCCACTACCACCAGTCGTACGCAACACTGCACTTATCCTAAACTCGATAGAATATGACCGGGTAGGGAGGCAGCTGGGAAGTATGCATGTATCGTGACCAGCCATCACGAAGGGACTAGATCTTAATCTGCTGCAACAGTCTGCGCACCTCCCTGACCCGTTAAGCCACGCTGGGTAGCACTTTCCAAGTGCCTTCAGAGCTACTCATTCCAGGCAAGATAATGTTTGGGAGTCAGATCAAAGTCGCGATATCCACTACGGAGTTTACAGTAGGCCGACGACCCACTCCTTGCAAAACAGCCTTGGGGGATAACAGGTCATCCGTTACAAACTCACATCTCTTTGCCTTGGAACACGAGTGTCACACATGTTCTCTGGCGGTGGGAGAGCATTACACAGTGCTCAGTAGTCTGCTACCGTCCGCCTCAAGCTATCCAGACCCTGGTCAGACAGGTGCAAGCGCACTAGCTCTCGTCTGCAGTTGACCCTGGTCGCAGGTATGTAACGGTCGAAAACGCATATGAAGACACGGTATAATATGCTTGCAAAGGTTGCGTAGTCTACCTGAGGAAAACGCTTAAGTAAAATATCGGAGAAGAAAACGGGTCTTGAAAATCGTCATATCGTAATGTCACACTGCTTTTTTGTGTACTTAGCCTAGACCATCGACCCCACCGTTCTCTCTGAAATCTCTTGCGCATGCCGCGTTGTATGATCGTTAACGAGGTTAACAGATACTGTGGCGACATCTACTACAAACGATACATGCGATTTCCGTTTCCATATGTACGGAAGAATTCATGCTACTAAGATTGTCCTTTGACCCCCGGCTTATAGCTCTGGTACCTGATACGGATTTGCGACAGTGAAGTGATAAATGCGTCGTTTTTCTCCCATCTTTTTCCCAGCCACATAACTGAAGATATCGTTCCATTGCATCACGATACGATAGTTATCCGTGTCACTGGTTACCTGCTCCTTTGACATTTTTCTGTAGTTTTACGGATGAATATCAGTTTATCAACCGAATTAATTTTTCAGCACAAGAGCTGTGGTGTTTCTCACCTTCAGCTAACTTGTACTGTTGATGACCACATTAATTTTGTACACCCTATCGTCCGCCTCCGTGGCTATCGGAATCACATAGACAACTCTTAATTGGTAGTCCTTCGCTAGCATCCCAATGGCCACATTGTTTTGCGTGTTTTCCACGAACTACTAGTGTAATACCTTCAGCTTCGTTCATTGCTTTCACATTGATTCTCTCATTGTCTCGTCTTCAGAAAGCTCAGCAGTGATCCACATGGAAGCACCACCTGTTCAGGAGGTGCTGCTATCCCAGCATGATCAGTTGGCTAGCGTCGATGATCTGCAGCGCTTAGTTAATCAACAACAAGATGATCTGGAACGACAAATCCGCGAGGTACGTGCAGGCGCATCACTTTGCACTCCTGCTTCATAGAGTTCCTACTAGGTAGCGGTTTCGCACGCTCTTTTACCCAAATGCTCGGACACCTTGATTTTAGTTTCCGTTTATTCCCTGCGAAATTTTTCCGTGTTCGCTTTTATCGTTTTGCATTGTCGTTACACGCACCCTCTCAAAAACGAGTGGTTGAATGCTTCTGTGGCAGATGTAGGCTGCCTGAGGTGAACACGTGACCTCATTTCCGGAAATACTATTGTGACAAATTAGGGTGCCGTTGGCACCACCGCCAGCACTTCACTTTCATTTTTGTAGTATGATATCCCTGCGTATATGTTTCTACTCGCGACTCCACACGTGGCTTTTCTTACTCTATTTTTCTAGATGGTCTCTCTGAAAGAACAGCTAGCCTATGCCCAAGAAGCGCTTCGGGATAAAGACACAATTTTGGCAGATCGTCAATCCATCTTGGACACTGTGACTTCTGAACGAGCAACTCTGAGTCGTGCAATGGAACAGAATCAATCACTTAAACAACAGCTGTTAGAACTTCAAGACGCCTTTGTTAAAACGGTTAGCGCTCTTAGTACATATTCACAACCTATCTGAAGTGCACCATATAGAATCACAATGCCACGACGCCATTAAACATGGCCACTGTAGTGGCGGTTTGCCCATTGCAATAACTGTGGTAAAATTAGTTTTGTAGATTACCTCATCGAGGCAGATACAGTATGATCTTGCAGATCTGATATGTTCTCCAAAATTCAAGCTGAATCTACAGCATTACGATTGAAGTGGCTCTATCGGTCAACTGCAGTCTACCCAAGAGGACACTTTTTCATGAACCTAATCATAAACATTAGGTTAATCTCGATCAAATCATTTGTTCTCAAGACATCTTATTCCATCCTGGATATGTTACCATAGAGACTACACTGCGTCCTAATATGGAACGATAGTTTGCGTACCTTACGTCCCCTTTGAACCACGCTGGGTGGCAATTTCCAAGTGCATTCAGAAGCACTCATATTAGACAAGTCAATCGTTAGGAGTGAGACCAACTCAACCCCAGCATCCACTTGGGAGTTTGGGGAGAGGCCGATGGGACATAACAGCCGCCTTGGACCTTGTTAGTCGTAGCCGTTTGCGTTACTGCCTGTTAGCGAAGGGTGTCCTAAAAAAGTCTTTTCTATACCTACAAATAGTTTGGCGAATTTTATCAACCGTGTTCTGCTGGCCAAGCTGTGATGAATTCGATCACATTTTCGGACATCGACGAGTGACAAATCCAAATAGTTACAGAGGAATGAATGAGCTACACAATCGTTGGATGAAGCACTAAGGAGTTAGGAATAGGGGGCGAATGGATCATCATCATACACGTTAGCTGGAGGTGGGGAACACCTCAGCTACTGTGCCGCAATACATAGAAAAAAGGAGAAAAAATATCAACTGGTGCAAGCTGGCTGAGCTACAGGTAACGGATGGGCATCGTTCCGGTAAGCTACCAGCCGGATACTGTGCATCAAAAAAATTACTATGCAAAGTTATATAAGGCTAAATAATGAGATCGTGGTTGGAGGGGGAGGTTAAGAGGGAGGGGTGGGACAAAGAAACTCACGGCACGAACGCCACTGAGGTCGGCTCCTAGCCATATCAGCAAGTGTGTCCAACCAAACGTGTTCATCGTCTTTCGGACCCCAACCAGTGAGCCGAGACGTTCCAACCGAGGCCAGCTCAGAAGTGAGGGCCTTCATTCCTCTGGACCAAGTCATCGCTTGGCCACCCCTCCTCTTCTTCCATCCATACTCCCGGCGCACAAACAACGCACGTCGCGGGAGTCGGTGGGTTGGCATGCGTAACACGTGGCCAGGCCATCGGAGCCGGGTGCGTGAAATAACGGTGCTGAGCGGTTCAGATCCTTTTCCTGGGCCGTAAACAATGCGTTGAACACGCTCGTTACTCACGCGGTGTTCCCACCAGATGTGAGCCAAACTGCGAAGGCGCCGATGGTCGAACGTAACTAGCCTCTTGAGGTCCGCTGCTTTAAGCGGCCAGGTTTCACAACCGTACAGTAGGGTCAAACGTACTGCTGCATTGTACACTCGACCCTTCAGGGCAAGAGTGATGTCGCGCCGGCGCCATAAGTGGCGAAGGTTAGCGAAAGCGCCCCGAGCTTTTGCTATACGATTCGTGATTTCATCTTCAATCCCACGGGCGCTGACACAACTTCCAAGGTAGTTGAATTTTTGAACGACTTCTAGCTGATCCTCATCAATGGTCAGCGTACGGGGCGGTCCAGACCAATCTTGGAGGAACGCTTTGCACTTCGAGGATGCGAAGCAAAACCCGAAGTGATGGACAGCTAGTGCTAATCTGTCCAGTGCTGCCTGACACGTTTGTGAGCTGTCACAGATGAGGGCAATATCGTCAGCATACTCTAAGTCAAGAAGTCGTTCTCCTGGGAGTAGCTCCACACCTTCAAAGTCATGTCCTGTGAACGCTATTTCCATGACTTCGTCAACAGCGAAGTTGAAGAGGAAAGGTGACAGCGGGCATCCTTGTCTCACGCCGCTGGAGATATTAAAGGGCGACGACAACTTGCCGTAAGCCCTCACTCTGCCCGAGCTACGCGCATATAATGTTTGGATAATATTCACATATTTCTCAGGTACACCTTTCCTGAGTAGACAGTCCCAAAGTGCGTATCTATCCACAGAATCGAATGCACCTTTGCTATCGAGGAACACGACAATGGTGGGCCGCCAATATATGTGACGGTGCTCCAACAACTGACGCAAGGTGAAGATGTGGTCAATGCAGCCACGATCTCGACGAAATCCAGCTTGCTCTTCACGAATCTGGCTTTCACGAGTATCAGTCAGTCGGTGAAGGATGACAGAGGCAAGCAATTTGGAGGCGATGGATATCAGACTGATACCTCTATGGCTGCCGCATTCCAATCGTGAGCCTCCTTTGAAAATTGGGACTATGACGGAGCGGCTGCAGTCGGTTGGGACAGTTTCCTGCTCCCACAGTTTGACTAGTAACTCGTGTAAATCATCCACAAGAGCAGGTCCCCCGAATTTGAAGAGGGCTGGAGGAAGATCATCTGGTCCCGCGGCTTTATTTAACTCCAACAGTCCAAACTCACGTTCGGGGCGAATGGAAGTCGCCCGTCTTCGTGTTTACGTAATGTTCGTCGGGGTTATCACGACTAGAGTAAGTTGGCGCGTACTCAGACAGCAGAAGGAAAACGTGTGGGATGTGAGTATACTCAACAAATAACGCGGAGCGGTTTACAGCATGAGAAGCGCAGTTGGGCGCGCCTACGCGCGCTTGCGAAATCAATACGTTTTGTACCGGCGTCAACCATTGATCGTTAATCAACACGTGACAGGGGTTTACGAGAATTCATCTTGCCTATCGCGAGGACGTTATGTTGGGCGGCTACAACCATAGTTTCACATCATTGCCCAGTGGGGACCGGCCCACATTCCTTCAACATGCACAGTTGTAGGGGAATCATGCGTGCCAGTCGTATACAAAGCAGTGGCTGGGCCGTAGTCCGTTCCACACTAATATACGGGGAATCATGCACCTTGTCACTATACACATGAAGTGCAGCCACACCGGGGATATCAAACAACTAACCCGATTTGAAAGAAAATAAACTCGCGAAGTTGAAATAGATGACCCATAAACCATTAACCAAACTGGCAGGAGTAGCTCACAGGGGTGGAATGACTGTGCCAACCATCGTACTAAATTTAGTCTTGATGGCCCCTGCTGGTTAACATGAGGATAGGTGAAGACCCAAAGAAGGGAACGGATAATACTAAGAATAGTAATGAATAATGTGTCAGCTGTACGCCGTAACGGCGCTTCGCTGCCGCGCAACCATCACCAGTCGCGCGCGATCTGAGTATGCCAAGAGGACGCCCATCCCTACGTGGATTCGAACCGGCGACTTTATGGTCCCAAACCTTGCGCGCAGACCACTCGGCGACCGACCGACGGATGGAATAGATTGATAGCGAATGTCTTCTATTGGATGACACTCTCAGACTATTTATTACCAGAGAGAAATCTTGTTCAGTGGCACCCACTTCCACTCTCTGACGCAACAGTATGACCCGTAAGGCAGTAATGGAGTGCACGTCCGACCTTCATCGCGACGACAAATGAACTCATTAATAATTCACCTGCATCTTGAAGCGTTAGGTGATAGTCCCATCTCAAAACCGTCCTTTTCGTTGCCTTTGTATACTGTGTGCCCTTGCGAGATACTTGTTCTGCTTATTGGGCCACGTCCAGTCACAACGGTCCGGTGTAGACCAGTTTTCCTGCAGACTCACATGTCCACTTTCCTTCTGCATAGTGTTGCGGTGATTGGCACATTCGTCGTTTCGGATTCCGTGCAACGTGCGACACAAACAATTACAACGTGCGAACACTACGTTTGGTGTCCTCAATTTCAACCGCCAGTAGTCACTTTTCGGAAGGCCCGGGAAATTTTAAACCATAACTGATTTCCAGTGAAAAAACGTTTACTCTGAGGCGTGGACCTCTAGTCCTGCTTACATTGTCATCTGATTTTCTTGTCCCATTGTGTCATCTGCACTGGGGTACTTCGTTGAAGTGTTGCAGTTCTTACCCAACTCTTTATTGTAACGTAATGCATCATCAACTGGGAGCTTGTCGGTCGAAGTTTTAGCCAGCTCTATTCATAGGTCATGTGCGATTTTCATCCAGACCTTTCTCTAAATGGTGTAATCCAGGAAACCTCGGAAGAGGGCAAAGGAGCACGACACCCGCGTGGACTGTCGTCGGCAATGTTCTTCCTACTGTTTTGTCTATGAATTGAGACCTGACATCGCAAAGACCAACAGAAATCGTCGTGTACTCGTGGCTAATGCGTAGTCAACTTCGCTCCATACATGCAGTATCTACTCCCCAAAAGACTGGTTTATTTCCTTTAGTCGGCATCCATACTACGGTTTCTTGTTTTGGATGTGCATTTATTATCCTTTGTCGATTGTCACACAGTCGCCGGTTTTCAATTCATGCCTTTCGTTGGTTAATTTGGTGTCCCAGCTTAACAGGGCAACGACACGTGGGATAATGGCATGCGTGGTGACTTCGTCTTGAGGCCAAGTAGGTGAATCGTTGAACGTACACCATCTGGTGCTAAATATTACACCCACTGCGCAGTAGACTTTAGACAGAGCCAATATACTATCCTTAAGTGATCAACGTCATCTGTAAAGAAGTGAATCTCTTGTCAGGTCTCAAGCACTTCCTCCTTTTAGCTTGCTAGCTCAGCAGTTTACTTTATTCAGCTGTTGGTGCAAATGTGTAATGCAGTACTACATCCAAAAAAGACGCTGTTTCATCGATATGTCTCTCCACTTTCATGGCAACAAGGGTCCCTGTTTGCCTGACCTCAAACAGTTTGCTTGTTTTTCTCCTCAACGCTTAACCCGTGAATCACTGTGAAGCAAAACAATCACTCTAGATTACTTTTATGTTACAAATCTCCAGAGTGTAGTCAACTAATGACCGGAAAGTCCTACTGCGTCTCACTTCAGTGCACATTTTCAACCTCCCCGGTTTACACCATGTTTAAACAGAGCAACCAAAACGCTGAGCTGGCTGCTGAACTGCAGAATGAAAAGAATACCTCCAAGGAGAGGAACACAGCAAATGAAAATTGTCGTGCGCAACTGGAACAGCTTCAAGAGCATGTGAGTCATTTTTAGCGAAGCATTGAAAAAGCACACACGCAGTTTTATTATTTCCATGTTTCATTGGCTGCGAGTGTATAATGGGACTCAGCAATCAGACTGTTCGGATGATATTTAATTGTGTCGTCCTTGCATTTTCGAAAACTGAGCGCGCTGCTCTGTTTTGTAATCACCTCACAAACACGGTGACAAACCTACATGGCAATGTGCGGTTCATGTCTACCACAGCTGAAAGTGCACAGCTTGCTTGATATCGGAATTAATTTCAGTTTCGATGGAATTTCAATTTGGTTCACTGGCAGAGTAGGTTTCCGAACTCATCTGATATTCTTCCGTATTATCTAACTTGAACGGGTTCTGTTGGTCCCCAGCACGGTATCGACGCTGAGGTAAGTTGTCTACGGCTGCACTCATTTGAAGACAACCTAATCACTATTTTTTTAAAATAGATCACAACGGAATGCGGTGGTTTGCACCTCTGAGTCAATTTAGTCGCTCGTATTCATCGCTATCGGTTTGTTGGAGCATGCGAAAACAGTTATCCAGTTCTGCGACGAGACTGGACCTTGACGTGCTTTGCTTACCTTTTCGACCCTATAAGATTTACCGATTTGTGCCACCGGGACCCTTAAGAGAGCTATTCATACCAGGTTGGTCAATGGTTAGAGGTCAGACAAACTCAGTCTCCTGTTCCTCCAGGTTGGGGTTCGAAATGGGATGATGTCCATTTCTAACTAAATCATTGCCACATCCATTATCTTGCAGAGGCATTTGAACCAAACGCTTCGGTTGGGGATCCTAATCGTTCTCTCTGGCAGTATCTCAGCCCACATACAACCATGACAATTTCTTCAAACCTTCAAATTTCTTCATCAGCCGTCACGCAGCATTACAGAGGTCGCCTTACCTGCTGTATACAGCAGGATGGATAAACGTCTCCCTTCTTTCCTTTCTACCTGTTTCTCTTGCTCCTCCCCCCATTTCCACTACTAACCTTTCCATAATTCCCAGCTTAGCTGGGAGCAGCCGCAATGCCACTGCATTTCTACCATCTGCAGCTATCTTCCCGCACCATGCACTGGACGCCAATCGCCAACAGGTCATTATAAGGCCACGCCACCCCGTTTCCCTGGCGGCTGCACCTCGCACGCACATTGGACACACTGGGTATTGATGTGTGTTGTGTGCCCGAAACTAAGACCAATGACCCTCTCGTGGGTGTTGTAGTAACTACACCCCGCTTTTCCTCTCACTGCTGCTTACACGCATCCGGAGACGCAGATGCAGCAACCACTAGTTGGGATAGGCATCGTTTTCTTCTCCAAAACTGAGTCATCGTTGATCGATTGGATTCCCGTGAACCGCCGTTTGTGTGCAGCCCGTTTAACGACATCAGATGCGGTTGGTTCACGAAGTATACCGGACACTGTTAGTGGTTTCCGCTTATGCTCCCACCGACTGCAATTCTGATGCTGCTAAGGACGCCTTCCATCACGAGCTGAAAAGCTGCTTTGCAGTGTTACCATCTCAGATATCATAGATCTTGTAGCGGTTATTAATGCGCACGTAGGTCGTCTGGGCCCTTCAGAAGTTCAGCAAGGTGGTAAGTATGAATTTAACTTCGATCGGACAGAGCGGCGAACGTCTGTTAACCTGTGCAGAGCACCGGCTTTGTCCTAATCTAACCGCAGTTAGGCACATCGTACACCGAAGTGTCACTTGATGTTCACTTATAGCTGATCAGCAATGGGACCGCATAGATCACATTGCCATAAGTTACATGCGGCTTGGTTCCGTCCTGGATTGCCCACCGTTCTTGAATACGTGCGTCAATTCTGATCATTGTTTGGTACGCTGTCGTTTTTTGTTGAACTTTACCGGTAGGCGTACTAAGCGTTTCCCTCGATTGGCGAGTGCGTTATCCCAGCCCTCGATCAGACAAGCCTACGTGGATGCCCTGTGTACGGAACTTTCGCCCTTTTTCCTAATGACACTGAGCTTCAGTGTAATCGGATCTCGGCTGACATGCACAACGCAGAAGCCACTGCTTTCGGTGCTATCACTCGTCAACGCACTAGTCACTGGATATTCGGGAAATCGGTGAACCTTGTGGAATCCAAAAGAAAACTCCTGGCTGGGCCTGAGCAGAATGTGACCAAACGGACTATTAGGTGCGAACTAATCCTTAGCCTGCGTGCTGATAAGAGCCCGGTGGACGGGCGCAGTAGGCGATTACCATCAGTTCTTCCGACTGATTCGCATCTCTGGAAACTAGGTGATGCAGTCAGAGATAGTGCAGCTAAAGTGATTCACTATACGGAGCGCTGTATGGTTCACTGGGCGTCGGCCGTTGCCTGAGTGGCCTGCCCGCCTGGTTTGCAGTCTTGAGATCGCCGGTTCGAACCCGCGTAGGGGCGGGCATCCTCGCGCTGTACTCAGCCCACGCGCGACTTGTGGTGGTCGCGCGGCAGCGAAGCGCCGTTAAAGCTGACGATTATCGCTGGGCGGAGCACTTTCGATATCAGTTCAGTTGGCCAAGCGCTCCCCTACTCCTTCCCACTCAAGAGGTGTAGGCTAAGGCGTAGTCCTTTAAGTTAGATACTCCATCGGAGCCTGAGGTCCGAAATGCGATCGCTGCCCTTAATCATTTTCGTGGTCATATTGGTGCAAATCCCCCAACCCTACTTGCGGATGATCGTGCTCAAAGGTCGAGAAAGACATGTGAATCGTACTAAATTTTTCTTAGGCTGCGTGTGATAGGCGTCAAGCAGATCGCAATCACACTCTCGAGCTGGACTTGCTCCCCACCGCCCTGTAGGTCAGACTACTGAGTAAAGTTTAAAGGTACGTGAAACATGACTTATCTTTCAGAATAGATATGCCCTCTCGTCCACGTCGACAGTACTCCCTCTTCCTATTTTCATTCCACCTCTCAAAAGACTGCCGCTGACCTCGCAACTGCAACTCATTCCTTAGACCAAGAGTCTCATTTTACAGTGGATCGTTTAACGTCCGCACTCTGGGTCAGATCGGCAGCGCTAACTCCCACTGCACTCTTGGTATTAATGTGTGCTTTGCCTGCTAAACGCGCATACAAGACTATAGCTTCACGATGAATTTTTGACTCACCGAATCTGCCGATAATTACTACACATTTCGTGTCTCTGGCAATACTGATTTAATGTCTAAAGGTACTTACGGTGTTGGCGTTACTCTCAAAAAGATGTTGAAGGCAATCTACTAGATTTGATGCCAGTGAGCAGTCGCATATTTGCGATTCGATTTCGAACCTCCATTGGGGTTAATAAGTACAGTCTGAAGACAGGGAGCCTTTCAATCGCTTTCGTGTATTTCCATAGTGACTGAAATTCGGAGAGTATTAAAGGCGATTTCTACCGTGGACACTAATATTTTCTTCGCATAGTGAAAAAATACTGACGTCGTGATTGTTGCTGGTGACATAAATACCTAAGTGGGTCATCTTTCAAACTATAACACCTAAGAGGACCTTTCTGGGTCGATGTACGTCGAATGGACAATGGTAATCGATTCCTTCAACTTTGTACCCACCACAAATTTTATATTAGTAGTACTGCTTTCCGGCACAAACCTGGCGCCCACTGAATTCCTCAATGACCTGGACCCAAATGGACCATATTGCCATCAGCTATAAATGGCGCACATCAGTCCAAGACTGTCGGTCAATTTGGAGCACTTTTCTGGATTCTGGCTAAGGGTCCAATAAAGTCCTCCGTTAGTGAGGCAATAGCTGAGAAAAAATGGACAGTTGATTCATTTTCAACTGTGTCGAACTATCTCGTTGAGTGGAGCACTTTGAGGAGCAGTTGAACAGGGCTGCTGCGGCACTTTAGCTTGCTGAACCGCGTGATCTGACGTGGGAACTTGGTGTCACACCTCTACTTTGGGTGAAGTTCGACATGAATCGCCGTATTGGAACGAAACAACGCTCCCAGACCCGACGACCTTACACTATTTTCGATACAATGTAGTGGTGACTATTTGTTGACTGGACTTGTCGCTTTATTCAGTACGATTTAGGACACTGAAGTGATGCCTTCATACTGGCGACTGTCCGCTGTCGTGCCCATCTAGGTCCACGGACGTTTTGCGAAAATTATCGAAGCATTAACCTTATTTCCATTGCCTCCAAACATCTCACGAGTATCATTTTTTAATCACCGACTAATACCTTGATAGCCGAATCACGCCGAGTTTCGCCACTGTCCTGGTTGAGCCGACCAGATGTTTGCTCTTCGTCAAATGTTAGGACAGAAACACTTAGTTGATCGACCATGTTCATTTTCCTTAACCTGAAAGCAACTTTCGACTGCGTTGCTTGTGCTAATTTTCGGCACTGCCTGTTCGTGAAGGGCGTGCAAAGGAAACCCCATTCCGTTCTGAATTCTACCTACCGTGATTCGCTAGGCCTTGTAAGGTTTTATGGGAAGCTATCTCCTGATTTCCCCACAACAGGTGGGCTTCACCAAGGTTGTCCCATATCTCCTTTCCCCTTTGACTTCGTGGTCGAGATGATAATGAATGAGACCGTTCTTTCAGATCAGACGACATAACTCTCCTTGGGTCTGATGCAGTGTCTGTGCAAGCACTGCTGGATAGGCTAGTGCATAGCATTCCAACCTTCGACGTGTTTTTTACGCCTTCAAAGTGCAAGATATTGTTGCAGCACTTTGTCGATACGCCACTGACTTGAGCTATCAGGGAACTGCCACTGGAAGTGGTCGATCGGCTTACTTACCTTAGTGGCTGTGTCATCTCTGGTAGTCACTCCCCGATCACTAACGTCTGTGTGGCTTAACGGAGGCCCAACCATCTATGGAGGCAGCGGAATATCAGCCTGCAATGAGAGGTACGGTGTGCTACGCTTCGGTAAGGACGATATTACTGTATGGATCAAAGACCTGGTCAATTCACAGTGGGCACCGAGCGCTTGGCCGTGTTTGACCACCGGTGCTTGCGGA